TTGCATGGAAAGTTAGTCCCGTTGCACCTACCCCTTTTGGGTTTTTGCTTCTTTTTTTGTGTGTGTGTTGTATTACAAATTTATATTGTATATCACTAGAGGAGCACCCAATAAAGCTGTGAAAAAAAAAATTTCCTGCAGCTCTCCCGTTTTTATGTCACTGACCCTTAGGGACGCATTAATTATAAGTTTAAGCTCTTAACTGGGGTTAATGAGCCCTAGGGGAGCACTAGTTCTTTCCTCACTTGTCCCTAGTGTACTCTACTCTCCTCACCCTTGCAATCAAGGCTTGTGCAGTAGTCAATAACTCATTGTTTAGGCCAAAGTACTTTCACTTTTACAATGTTAAAGTGGTTGCCAAAGCTTCCAGTAACTTTCCACAATATCACATGATTCTCACCTGTCTCGCCTTATGTAAACTCCTCATATCATTAGTCAGCTACATTTCAGCTTTGTTCTTCAAGCAAGTGCCTACTTGCACTCTTTAAGATTGTAATTTTTCCCACCCTCCCACCCAACTGGAAGCTTTGTCTTCTCTAATCGATATGGCCGTACTTTGTCCTGCAAATGTTTACGTTATGCTATTTCATTTTATTCTATTTTAGTTTGGTTATGTTATCTCATAGTTTGATACATTATACTATTCATTACGTTGCCATTGTATATATATATATATATATATTTAGTATATACTAAAACAGTGGATAGTGTTTTTGGCACGCTCTGATTGGCTACTCAGTGAATATCTTGCACTATTCACTGATTCACCTCCAGTTCCTCCGAGCGAGCGACACCAAACTTGCGTAAGTTGCGAGCAAAATGCCTTCCCGGTTTGCTGCCGTAAACAAACAAAGAAATTTCACAACCGATGAAGCAAGCTGTTTCCAAAATACACGAAGAAGGTGATGAAGTTTGGATTGGAAGTTTCCACAGGTAAAGCTTTGTCTTTTTGACCCAAATTTATCGATAAAACCGGTGAAAAAGTTTTTTGTTTACAAATGCGAATTAAGTTTAAAGTCTTGCGTTACTTTAATTAGTTGACTTTTTCATAAATAAGCTTAAAACTAAATTTAATAATCTTTTTTTACGGAAAGATTTTAAATACAAAAAAAATTCACAACTCCTTTTGAAGAAATTTCCCTGCAAGAGCTAAAGAAACGCCTTCAAAAGTTTTAATTGTCGGCAAGAAAAAGCGACAGCCACGGCTTCCTGGTCATTACGCGCCAAAATTGTATTTGTTGGCAACAGTATTTGACTTAAAAATCATCATTTTTGTGCTCAATTATCTCACTGTTTTAGTATATACTAAAACAATTATACACCTCAGTGTCGGTGACTAGTCGTGAATATTTATCTCACTGCTTCGCAGGTCGGTAAAGATCCACGACTAGCCACCTCCACGTCGGTGAATAATTATATATATATATATATATATATATATATATATATATATATATATATATATATATATATATATATATATATATATATATATATATATATATATATATATATATATATATGTATATATATATAAATTGCTCGAAACAAAACACTAAATCCTAGGTGTTAGTCATGCTCAGAGACCCAGGGGCGAAAGAGCCCCTGGGTACCGACTCTTGCCGAATCATTTCCAAAATGACCATTCCCATTTGCAATGAGAAAATTCTGCTTCTGACTGATCACAAGATATCGTAAATAACGTAAGAAGGCATGATTGATAAAAGCTTGAATTGGATACTTCTTGAAAGCTCAAACTTTAAAATACCCTCACATGCGTTTCCATGGGTTAGTTTTCGGGAAGACAGTATTTTCAAATGGACGGGGATGTTCTGTAACTCAAAGTTTCCCGATTGCGTGCATTTCCTTAGTGAACGAGCCAGACAAGTATGCATGCACACATGCATTCCCACAGGTAAAGTATACATGCAAAAGAAGAAGGCCTTATAAATTACCCGCCTTAAGAAGGCTACGCTATGCACGTGTGATTTATGGAGAATCATGTTAGTAGTTAGCTTTTAACCGATAATTAACACCTCTGGAAATTTCTGTCTTAAGTGGGCTGGCGAATTTGGAAAGATTTACCAGGCTGTGTTCAATGAAAATGTAAGTGAAAATGATGCTCTGCCTCTTGCAGTTTGTGCCAGCTGCAAATACCAAATTGAAAAGGCATGGTAACAGTCAAGAAAAGCAGAAGAACAGTCATTTCAATAGAGTGTTTTCACATGACGTCACGGCGGCCATATTGGTGTCCCAAAACAATGAAACCATGGCCATGTTGGTGTCCCAAACCAATCCTGTGGGAGTTGAACTCTTTTCTTATGCAAAAGCTTTCTTTTGTTCCAATAAATTTGCATAGATGTTGGCCACGTGAGGGAAAACACTCTATACTTGTCATTGTTAAAAAGAAAACATGCCCAGTCTCCTTTGTCATCAAGTTGCGGTGACGAGCTAACAAAGCACAAGAAGAGCTGGATAAATTCAGTTTAGATACGCATTCTTACAATTTTTAGGTCAATTAAAAATTAAATTACTCGAAAAAGTTGGTTCAGTATGGCCACATAAGGTTTCTCCTGAAAGATTACTAAGGACTTCAACTTGTAAAAGATGGATACAACTCTTTTTCATTTGACCCCACAACAATGGCCTCAATTGCATGCCCTATGCTATTAGTGAATAGGATATTATGTTAGTTGGTTGTCATTACAAGTTTCCCTAATCCCTAATAGTGTTATAACCAGTTACAAACACCCTTAATTTTCGCTTTATTTACCTTGAAAAGATGAAAAATTTGTTGGCCAGACAGTGCAAGTGAATCATTTTAAATTTTCAAAACCTAATAGTGGCTATCAACTCTCCTAGCCAATTTTCTTAAAAATCTGTCAGAAGGAAAAAATTATTAATTGACTTTGTAGGGGCAAATGAAAAAGCTAGTTTCTAGCATTGACACAGGAAAGTGATCTTTTAAAACTGTAAGAGCTATTTTGCATCACTTAAACCGTTCAAGTCAAATCAATCACTGACTTCTATCAGTCTCTGTCCCTACTGGCCAATAACAGGGACCCACCTTTCACAGTCTTTCATTCAAAACAAGAACAAATGGTACAAAAATTTAAAAAAAAAACTGAATTTTTTTTATTAACGGAAAAGCCCCATGTCCCACAGAAAAACCCATTTCACATTTTGTCAAATTCTTTAAGAGGAGGGCATATCAAAGCCAAATCCAGCTGTAGGTATTGAAATATCATAGCCATAGAAAAGTCATTATTCTTTGCAAAATATACTGTTATTATCAAATACACAGCATATGTGGATAAAAGGCATTGATACTGACAGTCCTGACAAGTGATATTATATATTTACTACTGCTCCAGACTTTCTTGTTGTAGGTCTGTGAAGACCTCACAAAGACAATCATACACTTTGAATGCATGCTGTACACCCAGAACTGGAATTTGTTCAATAATATCATCAACACTAAACAAACAAACAAAAAAAATCAAGAATTTGCCTTCTTCTCTAGGACTTTGACTTTGTGCATTCCAGCATGTCTGGTTCACATTTGCATTTGCCATGATGGCGGTCGGTCGGGTTTGAATGGCCTTCCGTCCAAAATGGCACAAAAATGGGGATTACACAAGAAGAGATTAAGAGCGATGGTCAGGAAATATCAACCATTGAGTGGCAAGAGTTGAACAATGAATTTCGCTTATTTTCTGACTATAAAAACCTACTAAGAATAGACGAAATTTAATGTATTTCTTTTTCATCTGGAGCGCCTTAATTCTGAGAAAACTGAGAAAAACAAATTTGACCCGCGACGATCCCTGCATTTTCCATCGATTCACTCAACAGGTATTTTTTTGCAACTGCTGGGTTAATCTTGACATGCAGAAAATAGGGGAGCTGCCCATACGAGGAAACTGAGACCATTGAGACTTCTGTAAGTTCTGAACAGGCACTCAATGGAAATAGTGTTATTAACAGTGGCACCAAACAAGGCCTGCGCAGCAAAAAAGATTAAAAAAAAATGGATAGGGACCTTATCATCACAAAGTCTGCATGAGTGGCCCCATTTCCTTGCTGCCTTTCCTTAAAATGTAATGTAACGACACAGATAGAGAACACAAATTAACCAATTTCATAGACCTCAGACTGTGTGCTGGTATCCAAGAAAACAATGCCATATGCTTTTTGTGCCTTCTAAGTCAGTTTTTCCTGAGTTCCACAGATGATGAAGAGGTTTAATACCCCTTGCATTTTATGTCGTCCTTGCCTCTGCACGTAGTTGAAAATTTATTCAGCAGTTTTTTTTTTAAATTCTCACCCAAATCTGAGAACTTGAAGCAGTGGCAACAAGTTAAAGACCATGTAGTCCACAACGGTAAGCTGAGGCCAAATTGTTCTTTTAAGAATAAAGGGTTCATTTGAAAGAAAACTGCATTATAACTTAATTATTTCTTAGACAGGTTTTTTTACTTCCGCTTGCCCCCACCTACACACACGCATCCCTCCACCTTATACCGCCAGGGATATGAGTTCATGTGATTTCCTCAAGGTTAAGGATACTGTGAATAACCCTCAGAAAAACGTTTCCGGTTTCCAATACACCACCCCAGGTTCCTTTACCACTCGCTTTAAAGTTCGTACTTATTTGTCATAATGAAAGGTATTTAATGTAATAAATTAGGCACTTTTAATCACAAATGAAGGCGGCAAAAAAGTGTTATTTTTTGTACATAATAAAGGCCACAAAGATCAGGAGGGATTATTGATCTTTGTCTAAGTGTTGGTTAACTTTGATAATTATGTGCCCAATTTATTTGTTTTAATGCAGTTTACGTTATATTTATTTTGCTTCCTTGTCTAGGGCGTGATGTGTAACCTTTCAATTGCTGCAAGTACTCCTTGCTCAGTGGTAGCACAACTTGCTAGAGCAACAAACGTCATTATATTTACCATCAACCCTCCTAGAAGAAACCGAGACAAGCACTAAAGGAATGAAGTGGGAAGAACCTATTGACCACCTTAACAGTTTCTTAAGAAGTCGAGACGTTAGTCCTATTAGGTACACCCTAAAGACACCTTGGAACGATGCCAGTGGAAGGACCAGACGACTGCATGAGCGCAAAGCCAAGCAAGCGGTTTCAGCTGTTCTTGGTGAAATAGCGCCTAATGATCCAGATCTTCTCTGGGAATCTATTATGTCCTCAAAACAAAATGAAACTGGAAATCACCCTTGTTCTAGTGGTTTGGATAAAGAATTGATGTACACGGTGACAAACTGCTACAAAATTGCAAACAAGTGGGATTCTCGCAGGCAGATATTGTCCATAATGGCGGATAAGGTTAGCTTGGCAACAATTCAACAGTGTATCCCAGGGATGAGAAGTTATCGGTTTAAGGTCGCCAGGCAGCATGCTGCAGTCCATGGCAGTGGAAAACTGGTGCCTACCAATGCACAAACGAAGTCATTCATACCTGAAGCAAAATTAGCGCATTTCCTAGACTTTATCACAAGCTCCCATGTAATTCAAGATCTTCCATTTGGAGCCAAGACAATAACATTGTCAACTAACAAGGTCATCCAAGTTCCAAATGTGGTGCCGAACATGATACCTGAACGAATCGTTTGCCAGTACCAAAAATATTCTGCTGAGCATGATTTCACACCCATGAGTCACAGTACACTGCTAAGGATTCTGCATGTTTGTTCCGCTTTGACTCGTAAGTCATTGCAAGGGCTAGATTATGTAAGCTGTTCTGGGGCGCAGGCATTTGAAGATCTTGTGAACGTTGTGCCCCAGCTCCGGGAAAATGGAATGGGTCTCAGAAAGGCAAAAACACGAAAGGAAGCTTTAAAGGAGGCAAAGCGGTACGTCAAGATTGATTTCAAGGTAAAATAAGAAGTGAGAAAGGGAAATAATTTTCTTGTGCGCCTGGCGTAAGTGTATTATGAATGTTACTCGACTGCCTACTACATGAGTGCTCTCTAATTGGCTACTGCTCGCATCTTGGTAGGTGAATAAGGGTGGATTCCCACTGTCGTGTAAATTTCACGTGCAAACACATGTAGCTTTCAGGTGCGTAATTTAAATAGAGGCAATGTTTGAAAGGTTGTACATAAACGTAAAAGTTGAGCGAGGTGTAGCTTTTACATTTACTCGTGTCATTCCATACGTTGCTTCTATTTTATTCACACCCTTAACCCTATTTAAACCGGGAAGGGTTTGAAGCCTCCCTTGGCTTAAAAGTTGAATAACTTCAAAACCGCCCAAGCTTTGAGCACTAAACCTAGAGACTTTTCGTAAAAACTATCTGGGAACATTTTAAAGTCAACGTGGCTTGTACATCAGCATTGACGTTACCAATGGCAACCGCGTTTTTAGAGCCATAATTTCCAAAACCTGCTGTTTTACTCATTCAATAATACTCTTACATCTAATTTAGTGATGTTTTATCAAATTTATTATACCTGTTTGTGTAATCCGGCCTTTTTAGCGACTGATTTGAGATGAAAACATGAATTTAAAATGGCCCAGTGGCAGATACTTGGGTCCAATTTCTAACAGTCTTAATTTCTCTCGGGATTTCACAAGTTGAGGATTTTTTTTTGTTTCATAAGCATCCTTTTATGCACAGATCCTTTTTTCTATCCAATTACCTCCATTTCGACGTGTTTAAAGTAAAAGTGGATACATTTGAAAAATTCAAAAATGTGGATCCAAGATGGCGGATGGTTCCAGATCCCTCTTTAACCATAAATGACGCCATCATGACGTCACTGCTAGTGTTAAAAGTCACTAATGTGTCAACTAACTTCTTGATTTTGTCAGACACATTATGATTTAAGTTTTTTCGCTTTGAAGGGAAAGCTGATGCAATTTGGATTCTGCTTATAGAATCAACAATATAACGTCATATTACGTAATTATGTCAATCTAAAAATGCCTGGACGTTGGAAATGACGAGTACATTGTTCTGTGACATGTTGCTCACCATACCATGAGCGGTTTTGTAGTTACAGGGGGAGGCCTCTGAGCTCCCCCCCCGGCAACCAGGAGGCAAAAAAAGTCCAGTCCGAATAGAGTTAACATTTACGTGCATGCGGCATGTCAGTGAAGTTTACAAGATATGCAAAAGTGGAAGTCCACCCTAAGATAAAATGGGGGGGGGGGGCTGTGACACAATATTTAGGTTTTGAAATCTTTTAGAAGATAGCATTATGTAAATAATTATTGCGCACATTTTAATCACTTAGGTTCAAGTATCAGAGAGTGCAAGTTTTCCAGATCACTGCATCGTTTTTGCTCTCAGCGACCCTAAAGATGCTGACTACCAGGCTACATGTACCTATGATCAAAGCGACGTTTTTGGTCTGTGTAAACTATGGAGGAGATAGAGAAAGCAATCAAGATGATGGCGATGAATCTTGAACATCTTTCCAAAGGCCAAATACACGAAGAGCTCGCATTCATGACCGAGAAAGCAAAATGTGATATAATTGCCTGGAAATCTCACTTGTTGCGTTTGGTGAACCAAGATAAAGCAAGACTAGACATCCTCCAAGACTTGGACGACACATCAGTTCTACTTGTACAAATTGGGCCATGAAGTTTATTCCTTGAAAATATCATGAAAGCCAACATGATTGGTTTGGGAAACAGGGAATTCCCTGGCACATGTCTGTTGCCATGAGAAAGGAAAGTACAAGTGATGCTGGAAAGTACGAAACCCTTACCATGTGCTATGTCTTCAGAAGCTGCAGTCAAGATAGCTGTGCGACATTGTCCGTCATGTCTGACGTACTCAGAGATTTAAAGGACGTCATGCCACACCTACAGCGAGTATACTACTGGCAGGACAACACCGGGTGTTACCATTGTTGTAACACAATCAGCCTTGCTCACATGGTTGGTAACCATCATTGCGTGACTGTGAAGCGCATGGGGCTTGGGACAGAACGCCTGCAGCTACAAAATACCACATGAAGATTTACCTGAATTCCGGAAACAACATTGAAACGCCAGAAGAAATGAAAGAAGCCATTTTGTCAGCCGGTGGAATGTCCTCACTGAGGGTGACTGTGTGGACCCCCAAAAGCTCCAGCTTCTTTGAACATCAAGCTTGAAGGAATGAGTTCAATTTTTTCGAATGTACAGTACGACGAGAAGGGAATGTGAGTTTAGAGAGCATACAGAATTGGCAGAGGGAAATACACTCCTGGGAATAAGCTGAATGTCTCAGAAAATTCGCAAGTTACGTACTTAACGGACGCAAATAAGGAAGGTGTCACAGCAAGTTTTACCCCTGTAAAATCCAAGCATAAAGATACTGGTCCAAGACAGGAGAGCGGGAAGATAGTTCCAGTGAAAACTCGAGTGATGAAACAGAGACGGAAACCTCCAACGCTTGTTTTTTTCCATGTCTGGACGAGGGATATATCAAATGTGACGGTTACACGAATCTGCAGCAACACCTAGACTCCAGAAAACACACACGTGCTCTCGAACGAGAACCACTCCTAGACCAAGCTGTTTGTGGATATGCGGAGGGACTGGAGGTTCAAACAGTGGGCGTCCCCCGTGTACAAAATGTTCAGGAAGTGCCCCAACAAGTGCCACTACAGTTTACTCTCCCTATGGGCTGGGCATTAAGATCATCCCAGAACTGAAGAACACGTTTTACTTTAAAGCAGAAAGACCACCTATCCACAAAGTTCAATATTGGTGAGACCACGGGATGCAAAGCTGACCCAGTAGTTGTTGGAAAAGAAATGATGCACGCCAGAGGAAATGACAGAGAACGCTTATTCAGCAGCGATGAGTTGCTTACCAGCCAACAAATGAGCACCTTTTTCAGTCGCCTTGCTACCAAAAAGAGTTTACTTGACAAGGATGACACAGAAGAAAATGATGACAAAGCCGCAGAGTTTGAGAGTTCTCTTGAGGACCTAACAAATCAAGTATGGAGGGAAGATTCATTACAACATCCAATCGTGTTTGACTGTCATAATATGTGGGGCCTTGTTAAGCAAGGTAAACTGAACAAATTTAGCATAAAAATGCTGAAGAGATTGTGCGAGCACTTTGATTTAGATGTCAGTCATATAACAGTCAGACTGAAGAGGCCTTACATTGACAAACTGTCCACGTTTGGTAGCAACTGCTCGTGTCAACAGTAAAATGATATGATCAGGTTTTTGTGTGATTTCCCTGCTGTGACGTGAATCTTCTTTTTTTGGAATGATGTTTTTCGTATTTACCTTAAAAGAGATCTTAACCTGGGGAATTGAAGGTTCTTATGGGAACCTTGGGTGGGGATATGCCGCTGAGTCACTTACCTTTTTAAGAAAAAAAGGACACTCATTTTGCCTTCCTTATCAAGACAGGACCCAACTTGTTACGACTCATAACAGAATTCCCATCATGGCCAGAAATTGAGGACAACATGACACTGGAGCATGCCCGTCATTTACTTTTTCCATTCTTTAAATATGGTGACCATATGAAGGATTAATGGGGAGAAAAGAAACTTCTAAGGATAAAAAAAAGTTAGACAAAAGAATTGCTCACCTCACCATGTCTAAACCTTTGCAAGGCGATTGTGGCTTTCGGTCATGTTAATTTGGCAATGTGTCAAGCTCCCAAAGTTGGTCCGTGAGTCACCATAAAAAGATGGCTTTCCTTGCCATACAGGAGTCTGTAATATTGCCTAAGCGCTTCTCTATAAGCAAGAAAAAAGGTCATTAGATGTCGGTGTTTCCTCCTTCCCCATGTCCCGGTTCTTAAAGGATATGTTTATCTTCATTTTTATATTAATAACCTTTATTTTAAGAGGGTGACACCTATTACTATGAAGTAATCTCCCTAGTGGCCCTCTAAAAACAAAATTGATAATAATAAATTACAACAATCACGATAAAAAGCCTATATTTACAAATAGTAATCATAATAAAAGATCTTAAGAACTCCAGTTTTCTCCCTCCCTAGTGGCCCTCTAAAAGACAACAAAAAAAATTGATAACAATAAAATTACATTAATCATGATAAAAAGCCTATTTACAAATAGTAATTATAATTAAAGGTTCATAGGCGTACAGGCAATTTTTTGCCAGGGGGGTGGTAAACCATTGGCCCAAAAAATTCTCGCAAGTTGCCCAAATTTTTACGAAACAGTAGAAAGAAAAGAGGGCCATACGATGCAATAATGTAGGCCGTACTGGCATATGAAGGTGGCTCGATACTATGACAGCTCTTCAGGGTCAATACCTCCCAATTTTGAGAATAACTACGTCGCCATAGACAAACATTTGGAAAATTGCTACATAGTTTTATTAGATAAACATGAAAATTTATCACGAGCAGGGTTTTAATGACATCAGAATTGTCATAGCAACGAAATGACGCCATTGTCTATTTTACTCGCAGCAATATTTCTCGGCACTGGGAACTATTCATTCACAAAAATGTTCACGGGAGCTTTTTCCTCCAATAGTCGCCTCGATGTTCGTGAAGTTAAAACAGAATCTACAGAAGTGTTATTGGGATAATTTGGGATGAAGTTTTTATCATTATAAATATGGTAAAAAAAATGTTGATGTTTGGCCGTTATCTCTAGAAAACGAAGCTCTTTTGGCATGCAATTTCACCTCATGGTAGCTTCAATCTTTTTAAAAACCTGTGTAAAAGATATGATCATGCAGATAGCTCCGGCCGATTGCTAGAGACAAAGATTTCATTAGTATGTATCGAGGTGCTCTTGTTAGCGGTTTTGTAAACATTTAGGTCTACTTTCATAAATTATTGCTTGATAGGTTTTTAAACAAATTTAATATTCTTCTCGTAATTCGAGCTGAGTACTAGTCAGCCACTCCTTCATTTTCAGACCCACTGTTGCTGATGCT